AAATTCTTTTTACATCTTCTCTTATTGCCTTGACCCATATAAAAACGCGGGTACGAAAAAATGGCACTCTCTTTGACGCGTCTTTAAAACTTTTACGCGTTTAACATTTCCTTAAACGGATTACTGTCCTCAAGGACCAGCTCTTCCTCCTTCTTTTCTGCGACGGTTTTATCCGCCTCTTCCAGCCCCAGCAGATCTTCCACTGGTTGGGCTTCCGGATCTTGCTGATCCTCCGGCGTCAGCATCTGCACCAGTTCTCTCATGTACGATGACTGTACAGAAAAGACAAAAAGAAAAAGCCCCAAGCAAAGCATCAAAAATTATTGCATGCGTTGTTTTGTATTTACATGCTAACTGTTTACCTTTTCTAAATGTTGAGACTCTTGGGGATCTAGCCCTGATATCTGCATAGTTCTGAGAGAAAATTTCAAATTCCTCATCATCTGAATCTAGCCCATTGAAAAATATGTTGGGCATAGATCCTACTATGCATTCTTTAACTTTAGCCTTATCCAGTTTTAGAATTCTCTTCTTTCTCTATTTTCACAAGGCATGCACAAAAAAGCAAAGCAAGCAGGAAAGCAAAAGCATTGTTAATCATTTTTATTAAAATAAAAGAAAAAATTGGCTAACCTTGTTCCTGATGAACTTGACAAGCCAAACCAAGAAAACTGCCAAAGATGTGGCCCCAGCCCCACCAAGGCCCATAAAAACCAGCACCATGGCCGTCCAAGGGTCCACGTCCGCCTCGACGTGCGCAACACCATGCTTGATGTTGACCGTCACTTCTGGCGTCGACGACGGCGCCTTGATGATGTGTGGCACCTCTTGCGCCACTACGACGCTTTGCTGCATCAAGGGCGGCGCCCGGACCACAAACGGCGTTTTGCTCGCCGGTACGTGGACGACCGCCAGGTTGGCCGTTGGCGCCACCGGGCGAGGATCATCTGTACATACAAAATTCTTTATTGATATCTGGTGAAGGAAAAAATATTTTTGTATAGTGTAAGGTGTTGGCTATGTGTTATGATGTTATATGAAATGAGATGTATTTGTGAGTGTTGTTTTTGTAATGTTTATGCTTGTATGGAAAAGTTGACAAAACAAACTCACCAACCACCGGTGGAACTGCCGCCGTCGAAACTTCCGGCTCGGGTGGCACGACCTCCTTGCACCACCTCCAAGGTGTCACGACACAATCCATGTCGACTCGACGCCCGACGCAGACTGTTGGCAACACCAGCTTCACCTCCTGCAGAAACAAGGAAGCTGTTATTTCCATCCCAATAAACAAGGTCAAAAAAACTCACCTTGAGATCCGCTTGACGAACGCAGTCCAAAAACAGCATCGACCCGACAAACGTCACTCGACGTCCGTAGCCGCCAGCGTCCTGCACCTCCTCTCCGCAGACGTCTTGACACTTGAAGATCCCGTCGTCTGGACCACAATCTGCACCCGCACCGACCAGCAACCACAGCAGCAACGCCACAATCCTCAGGAACGCCATCTGTGAAAAATTTCAAAAATACTATTATTTCTGAAAGAAAAATTTTTTTTTGGGACTCACTTTTCACTTGAAAAAATCTCTTCTTGAAGAACTTGAAGATCCCTAGCAGCACAAAGTCACTCAGCAGCCGGACGATTCGCGAAACAATGTTTGAGGCCACCAACTCCAGGAGACCCATCAACTTTTGTCAACTCCTGGAGACAGGAAGTCGTTAACGACGCATCCGCGTCCGAGACAAAAATCGTTAA